CTTCAATAAATCAAACAAATACATCAATGCTTTGAATCAACTGGTGGCTTTCTTAATCTTGTCCACAAGGGACAGGCAACTATTTTCATGAACTGTTTCTTCACGATCAGGGAAATCCTTGACCTCTACCTGGGCAATCTGTCTTAAGCTCTGCTGGCTTGTGCTCCTACACCCGGTCCAAAATGCGTTATGGCTGCCGCGAGTGGTCCTTACCAAACAGAGTCCTTTTGTAGATTTCCAAGAGGAAAGAAGGTCTTCAATTCCCAGTGAAGGCTGGCTGTAAAGCTGTGGGACTGGATTCCCCCAGCAAAAGCTATGCTTCTCTGTAGAGCTGTGGGACTGAATTCCCCCAGCAAAAGCTGTGCTTCTTTGTAGAGCTGTGGGACTGAATTCCCCCAGCAAAAGCTGTAAAAGACGCTTTCTACAGGTGGAACTGACTCACGCCCTGTACGAAAGGTTTCTCTGTGAGAACTGAAGTAGAGGTCCCCATTTTCCCTCCTAAACCCAAAAAAAGGGGCGGAACTAAAGAACCTAATGATGATTAATGGGTCATTGGCCCTATAATTGCAAACCAAGGGAAGCCACCTTATTGCAAAATGCATGGAACCTTGGAATACATGCAAACACTCAAAGAAAGAAAAAGAAGTTGGAGCTCCTGGTACAGCCAGGACATGAGTACCAGAACATGACCTTTTCAGACCTTTTTATGGGCAGAAAAGTCCTCCCTTGGCTTATAATGGGGTCAAACCAGGCAGCAGAGCCTGGAGGCCATTGCTTGCAATATATAATATATTTCTCTCTCATCTTCCCCACCCTAAACAGTGTGTTTTCTTTTCTGCTTCTCCAGACTGAAATGTTTTGAAAAAGGAAAGGAGGAGGAGAGAAGCCCTTGCACGTCAGGAATATCTATTAATCTTATAAAAGCATTTTCCCCTGAAATATTTGTTAATCTCTCCTCTAGATATATAGGCATTTCCCCCTGCAAGCCTTCCCAATCCCTATGTACCTATGTTATATATCTGTATCTATCTATCTATATACATTATTTTTATACATGAATTTTCCCCACATATGTTTACAGGTCTTTGCAAATCCTATATACATATAGATATCTAGAGATTCCATGTACCTGTATATATGTATACATTATTTTTATATATAATTTTCCCCTCACATGTTTGCAAGTTTTTGCAAATCCTATATAGATATAATCATCTATATATAGAAAGATGCCTAGATAGATAGATATGAACATAGATATATAATATTACAGGGGGGAAATGATCACACAAATATGTATAGACGTGTCTAGATAGATATGAATATAGATATTTAGGACTTGCAAATATTGCAAGGGAAATGCACACACACACACAAGCACGCACACACATATAGAGAGAGATGTCTAGATAGATATAAACATATATATATAGGGCTTAAAATATTGCAGGAGGGAAATGCACATATATATAGAGAGGATTTGCAAACGTTTCAGCAGGAAATGCATATGTGAAATTAGTATATATAATTATAGATCTATACAATTTCAGACCAATCTCCCGGCCCAGTTTTATTGTGTGTTGGTGTATTGTTTATTGCTTGTTGTTTAATATTGCTTTAACTGTTTTTAATTTGCTTTAGGTGTTGTATTGTTATGTTGTGTTTTGAGGCCTTGGCCTTTGTAAGCCGCATTTAGTCCTTCGGGAGATGCTAGCAGGGTACAAATAAAGATAATAATAATAATAATAATAATAATAATAATAATAATAATAATAATAATATCTAGCTCTGCATTGTTTATATGGGCATTGAATGTTGCCTGTTACTATGTTGGAAGGTAACCTGAGTCCCCATGGGGAGACAGGGAAAGATACAGATGAAGTTTTTAAATTATTATTATTATTATTAAGCTATTGTTGATACCATATTTTTTGTAGACTATACTCTTCCACTTACAGATCTAGCTTACTGTTTTTCTTTGAAATACAGTAAATATTCAAAAACTTTTAACTTACTGATGCTTCAATTAATGTAATGTATCTATTTTTATTTTGAAATTTACCAGTAGCTGCTGTATTTCTCATCCTTGGCTTATTCTCAAGTCCTAGTTTGGGTTTTTTTCCAGTAAAATTAGATGCCTCATCTTATATTCAGGTCGGTTTAAACTCAAGTATATATACGGTAATTCCTACATCCCCAATCAATGGACAATTTCAATTTTTATACTGCTCCGAATTAGATGTAAATTCTAAAAAAATTGCACGCATTAAGAGAGAGGATTGTATGAAAAATGTGTGCATTGTTGTACGTCTTTCTCCGAATGTTGGCAATTCATGTATGCATTGTATCCATTTCTTCTAAGATAAGATAAATACATACCTTGAAATATACATACTTGAGAAACACATAAAGTTTTAGCTGATATTTCCTCTCAAAATTAATAAATTTTGAAACTGTGTTTTCAAAAAGTTCATCAGCTATAGAAAGTTAAATAGATAGATTTAGTTCTCTCTCACCTTCTAGTGAAGGATGTAGTCATTAATGGTACCATTATAAAAATAATATCACTTGTAATTTCAGTTTGGGCTGAAAGAGATATTAAATTGTAAATAATACAAATAAAGCATGCTTGTTATTATAGCCTGCAGTGAATATAAATCATGTCCAGGGAACAGGCAAAGACTTTTTTATGTATTGGAAAACAGTTATCTAATAATTGGCGTTAGCTTGAGGCCTGATCGACCATTTTTATTGCTGGAGTTACTTTGATGAAAATGGTCAATGTGTATATAGAGTATATGCTTGAAAATATTTTACTAGCAGCTAAGACTGTACTAATTTGGCACAAAGGTAATTCTAGCAGCCATGGAATAAAGGTTTTAGAGATTGCCTAAGTGACAGATGAGATTTATCATAGAAACAGATAAATCCTTGCGCTAAAATGAGAGTACACTGGAGTCATCCATTTTACCCTGGGAAATCAATTTGGCTGGACTGGCTAATAGGTTTAGTCTGATACATCCCTCCCTTGGATGTGGTTAAGGAGACTACAAGTGCAGCTTATCTGTGTAAATTCAATGTGCCCCTAATTGTACAGCTAATTTTCAATGGTGGAAAACTAGGAATCAGACACATTAGTTATTATCTTTATGCAGAATGTTAAAACTTCTTATTTATACTCCTTTAACACTGCTTTGATGTAAAATGTTTTGAAGTAATGGGTCAGAATCTTTTATCAGTGGTATAAGTTACCAAGTTTTACTCATCTGTAACTGTTTCACGTTCATGATTCCTACTTAGTCATAATAGTGACACTATTGCCACAGAGATAACTCTGGCCCCAGCCTACTTTTCAGGTACATGTTCTGTAGAACAAAATTGCCTTTAAAAATTCCTAGAATTCCACATTTTTTCGTCTTACTCATTTGAGCAATGACCAGACCTTTAAAACACCCTCGAAGGCTGAATCTATACTGCCATATAATCCAATTATGTGCAGTTAATCTTAGAGTAGAATTATTCCAATACTGAACTAAAGCGATCTTCTCTACTTAACAAATTAACTTTCAGATCTTTTATGCTTTTAATCTTATATTTCTGGCAGGTAATTTAATAGTATAGACAATGACTGGAATTCTGTATCAGCTACCTAGGTTGGATATGCACTGCCATAAAATGCAGTTTCAGAATTCCGTTTTACTGCATTGAACTGGATTATTTGAGTCTACACTGCCATATAATCCAGTTCAATGCAGTTAATCTGCATTCTTAAATGGCATTGTAGATCCAGCTTTTGCTAAGCGTACTTAGGGCCCTTCTGCACAGGCCCTAAAGCCCATGATGGCTAATGGGTTTACCTGAGGCATCCAAATGATGTCTCAGGTAAACTCAGATTAACCTAGAGTAAATTGAAATTTCCCAGTTTACTCCAGATAAATTTGACACCTCAACAGATCCAGACCTTACTGAAAAGTCTGGATCTGTCAAAGTGCGGGGCTTCAGGTATTTCCCCTTTCAATGCAGGGGAGAAGGGAGATCCCTCTGGTTACCTGGAAGGGCATCTAGCCACCTCCCTGGAAAGCCCAGGGTTTGGGTTGGAGTTGGGACTAAATCCCGGGAGGAACAGGGATTCAATATCCCAGTTCCTCCTGGGATTTAGTCAAGTGTGGAAGGGTCCTTAGTTAACCACTTAGCTACTTACTCAGTTTACCTTCTCAGTATACTTACTATATAACTTGTAAGTGAGGAAGATAAAATAAACTCATACATGGTCTTCTGTATAGTGGTTTTATCAGGCAAGAAATAGCATTCAATTCAACACACTGTTATTCAACAGAGACAGAAAGAAAATGTTGTTTGCAATATTTACCTTTTTATGTAGCTTTTTGCTCTGATAATCAGCTACAGATAATTAAAATAGTACATTTTTTCATGGATTACCAACTTTTGTGAATTCTACAAGGATGAAATAAAATCAGTAAGTATGTGGAACAGTCTCTTGAACAAGTGATATGAACAGCTGTTGGTTTCCTTCTAGACTGAAAATGGAGGACAAGCTCCATTGATTCACCACTAGTTGACTTCACATTGCACAATCTTGTTCATATTCATTATTTCTTTGATGATGGTGCCAAGGATAACTAGCAATTAACCAAGGAGGTATATTCGCTTCCAAAACAAAGGTGCCTTGTGAGAAATTGATAAAAGCTTCCATGGTAATGTTAATAAGCGTAACTTGCATCAATCTGGTGATTAACCTTAAAGCCTACAAACTTTAAATGCTAGGAAGCTTGTAATCTAATTACACACACACACACACACACACATTACATAGTTGTTGTTGACGGGAAGTGCAATGGCAAGTTTGTTTGTTTATTTGTGTATGAAAACAGTTCTATTCCACTCTTTATCACAGGTAAAGCTGTGTATCTGATTTTATCTGACTATAGAGAGGATAATTTTCTTTCATGCAACCTCTTCTGTCTTATTTTTTGAGACAGATAGACTGGGCCCTCCCTTGGATATAACACTGGACTCACTTAACTGCACAGCATTCAGTATACAATGGAGGATGCCTCGGCAGCACGCAAGCAGTATCACTGGCTATACTGTAAGTACATTTTTATTTGGGCAAGAAACACACAGAAAAGCATTTCTTTATGTTCAGGATATACTTCATCAGCCTTCCAGGTTGAAACAGTAATGAATACAATTATAATGCTCCCTCCATTGTGCTAATTAAAAAAGGAAACAGCTAAATGTTCAAATGAACAAGCTGAAGCCTAATGCATTTAGAAAGATGCATATCTGTATGCCAAAAAGGTGAGAATTTAGTTTTGAAGTGTGTGTAGTCTTTCAAGCAATTCGGTTTTTGGAGGTTTTCTAAAGATGTGGGAAAATTGCAGATATCATTTATTGTTTCTTTCAAAAATGAAAATTGTGAAGAATTACACTTCTGTTTCAGATATCCTGTCCCTGGTCTAGTTAAGGTTTTGGAGATCAAACAACTTGAACCAAGGTTTGAAACACATTGAAAGCCAGCGTAGATGATACAAGACCTGTAAAGTGTCCTCTGTAAAGTACTCACCAGATAAGACTTTTGGCCATTTTAGGCAAACCTCTGAACACTTTTGAAGATCTACCCCCACATAAAGCACATGATTAGACAATTATAATAGTATAGTACCTAAATCAGGAAGTATTTGAGGCATGAACCACTGTGGCCAAATCTTCTCCCCAAAGGAGAATAAGTTGGCATATGAGCCAAAATTGAGAAAAGGTGTTCCTGGCCATATCAGCGAAATGTTCTTCTGCAAGGAAGGCTGGGTGCAAGAGCACTCTCAAGTTGTGAAATTAGTTTACAGAACAAGCAGTAAATCCAGTTTTAGATTGGTTTTCCTGATAATCATCCAGTCTTGTCTGAATAGAATGGTGAGGATTTACTCTTGAGAACTCCTTTCAGTCAGGCTCATCACTGTGGACAAATGGGTGGGTCTTTAAGGTTAGCCATACAATGTATAAGGCCCCAGCTGAGCTGCTGAGCTTGTTGACCGAAAGGTCACAGGTTAAAATCTGGGGAGTGTCATGAGCTTCCACTGTCAGCCTCAGCTTCTGCCAACCTAGCAGTTCGAAAACATGCAAATGTGAGTAGATCAATTTCCAGCGGGAAGGTAACGGCACTTCAACATAGTCATGCTGGCCACATGACCTCGGAGGTGTCTCCGGACAACGCCGGCTATTCAGCTTAGAAATGGAGATGAGATGAGCACCACACCCCAGAGTTGGACATGATTGGACTTAATGTCAGGGAAAAACTTTTACTTTTTACCTATAAAATGTAAAGCCTTCCAGTGTTTGCTGCAAACATGCAGGGCTTTCCCTGATCTCTAACCTCAACTCCCCCCCAAATTCTTGAAAAGATGTGCCATACACCATACAAGTATAGAGGGTGAGGAAAAAAGGGAAAGTGACAGTTACCCCTCCCAGGGGTCAATTAGTTCCCTGCTCCTCAGCTGTGCCCTTGGGGCATTTTTGGCCATCCCCATTTGGGATCTTTTACTGCACTTCAGCAGGGGTGAGTGTCTATAATTTGCTTCACATTTTGTGGAGCTGATTTCACCCTTATTTTGAGAAGCGCAAGAGATCTGCATCTGAACTTACACTTTCCTGGAACTTTTTAAAAGCACTGTATCACCCTTCAAATGCACCACAGTCCGCACTGCCGATGTGTGTTTTGTGGCCACCGCTGCCTTGAGTCGACTTTCCACTGCATTATAGTTTCAGTGTAGAAAGGCCTTCAAATGCTGCCATTCAACAAGTATGGATCTACACTGTGAAATTTGACACCGGTTTAGCTGTCATGTCTCAGTATGAGGGAATCATGGGAGTTGTAGTTTTATAAGATAATTTCACCTTCTCTACCCAAGACTCCTGGTGCCTCACCAAACTACAACTCTTATGATTTAATAGCATTGAACCATGACAGTTAGAGTGATGTTAAGCTGCATTATTTTGACAGTGAAACTGCGCTCCAACCATTGCATACAAATTTTCTCAAACATTCCATCACGCAATGTACACATTTCAATACTCCATCAAAGTGCAACACATAAAAATCAAATGAAGTCCTACCAGAATGCTTGCAGTAAGCACAGATAAAGGAATCACTGGCATGTGTGGTAACATATAGGTTTGCATGTGAGCTACTGTGGGGGAAGTGTGTTATTTCAAAAAGAAAAAGCCCAGCAGGACTGGATTCCTCCACTACTCTTTCTACACAGAGTCTCTGGTGGTCCAGCTGTCCAAACTCTCCTACGTCTGCTAGAGTAGTATTGGATTTCAAGCAGATAGGACATAGAGCTAGTACGATTAATTCAGGCTGTATAAGGGGTAGGGGAATCTTGTCTTATTATGCATTTTAATTGTCAAGAGATGAGCATCCAGACATTTATGGAGGATTTTTTTATGTTAAAGGTCTCTTGATTTGCTGTTCTTGATGTTTAAATTTTGATTGTATTCCTTTTTTTTTAGCAGATCAACACAACACACTCAGGGTCATGTTGTTGAATTTAACATTCGGAACTTGGAAAAGTTATTATTATTTTTTGAACTGCAATCCCAATTTATTTATTTACCATATTTATTTATTTATTTACCATATTTGCATACTGCCCTTCTCAGCCACTCAGGGCGGTTCACAGTTGGCAACATTTTTGCTGTTCCTACCCTGTTCCAATGAATATTTCACTTCATATTTTGATGAGATCTAGTTAGATGTGTTTCTTCATTATCCATTGTAAATTCAACCAGATTTTTGCATGCCTTTAAGTTATAATGTATTTTGATGACACTTTGACCCCGCACTGCTTCATCCTACAGAACCTTGAGATTTGTAGTTTTATTGAGGTATGTCAAATTCTCAGCTTGAGAGACCTAATGTACATCTTAACTACAGCACTACAGCTCTTTAGAAGAAATGTCTAAGTACCACACCAAACTGCAAATCCTATGCTTCCTTAGGATAGAGTAATGAAAGTTAAAGTAGCATTAAACTGCTGTAATGCATTAAAATAGAAAATGTTCATGGTAATGTAGATTACATCCCGAATAGATTACTGCAATGCACTCTACGTGGGGCTGCCTTTGAAGACGGTTCGGAAACTTCAGCTAGTCCAGTGGGCAGCAGCCAGATTACTAACCGGGGAGACATACAGGGAGCATACCACTCCCCTGTTGTGCCAGCTCCACTGGCTGCCAGTCCATCTCTGAGCCCAATTCAAAGTGCTGATTTTGACCTATAAAGCTCTATACGGTTCTGGCCCAGCTTACTTGTCCGAACGCTTCCACCCCTACATCCCATCTTGTAATCTAAGATCATCTGGGAAGGCCCTGCTCTCGCTCCCATCAATTGTGCAAATGTGTCTGGCGTTTCTACAAAACCAGTATCTGCATTTTACCTCTCTGGAGGCTTCCTGGCATGTACCAATGTTGCGCTAGGAGGTGGGGGAATCCCTCTTGAATTTGCGTCATCCCCATTCCAACGCAGTAGTTACAACGCTGCAATGGGACAAGCGACGGGAAAGCCCACTTCTTTTGGGTGCCTGTGCGGACAGCAACGTGGGCAAAAACTGGTTATTTTAATCTGTTTTTGCCCGCAATAAATTGCTGTCAGGAAGCACTCATAGACATGCAACTGAAATATAGTTGTGTACTTTTGAAATTTTGTCTCTGTTATATATAACAGAGTTTATCATCTTTCTTCTTACTGCTCAAAAGAGTAATCTGCTTGTACCTGCATTGTGCTAATGCATTCTCACTACTTTACCTGTCTTAACTCTCACCTTCTCAAGGTCTATTACGCCGAGGTCAAGGCTGATAAACCAATTAGACAGCAGTCGCATGATGTGCCTCTCAGCCTGGACATGCTCAGCATAGTGAGTCTCTAATTTTATGTATATGCAAATTACTGGAACTTTTGTATGTTAGTCATCTGATAAATGGAATTTTTTAAACCAATACATGGCTCTGCTTTGATGTGGTCCAGTATGTACAGTGAAAGAAAAAGAGTTCAGTTAGATATACATAGGGACTGGAGAGAAAATTCATTTCGTTTCCATTTTTATGCAGACTTGCATAACTTCGTACTTTTCAACCTGCACGTGAACTGAAATTAAATTATGATATGAAATGTATGTTCATAGTAAAGTTCTCGGGGGGGGGGGGGGGGGGGGGGGGGGGGAGAGAAAAAAATCCCAATGTTTAGGATGAATCGAATTAAACAAAAGGAATTCAGAGATCCTTTCTATCCATATGTAAAAGTATTTTTGGAGCTTCTAGTCTAAAGCTGATGTAGAAGTAACATCCCAACCAGTTTTTTGCAGCTCTCAAGGGCCTTCCGCCACCAGTATTTTGAATGGCAGAAATAATTTTGATTAACTTACAGAACCCCTTGCATATATTAGGGCTGTATGTGACAGCACTGTTGTGGTTTTGGAGCCTCCCCCCCTCTATTTTAAGCCTTGAGAGGCTCCAAACTGGGTGCAATTCCCAGTTCACTTTCTGATTTTTAAAAAAATTGTCCTCAGCCCTGCCTCTCCCCACCCAAAAACAGCTCAGGGATGGCAAAATAACAAAAACAAAAAAAACAAACAAAAGAAACAAAAACAAAACAAAACACCATGCTTTTTATAGGAGTTTATAATATGAGGAGATGTGGGGCATGCGGAGATAGGCATGATTTATATTGAATGTTATGTTTAAAAATGTTTTAGTTGCTTAATAAGTATTAATTTTTATTTAATTTTAGTATTAATTTTAATATTAATTTTAATGTTACTGGAATTGTATATGTTTCAAGGCATTGAATAATTGCTTATATGTAAGCCGCCTTGAGTACCCTCAGGGTAGAGAAAGGTGGTGCATAAATAGGGCAAATAAAATAAAATAAATAAATATGGGTTCTGAGATCTCAGTCCATCCTTGCCATGGAATATCAGATCCAAATGGTGATTTTCTGTGTTTAAGGAAAGTCAGGAGAGCGTAGTGGTTTGAAAGTTGGATTTTGACTCTGGGACATATTAAAAGCAGCTGAAAAAGTGTGACAACAGAGGATTAAGTTCCTGCCAAATTTGAGACAGTTGGAGGGGAAGATGGAGTGTTATCACAGGGCTTTCTTAGTGAGATTTGTTCATAGTGGGCTTACTCCTGCTTCCATCTGAGGCTGAGAGAGTGCATCATCCAATGGGCTTTTATGCCAAGCAAGGATTCAAAGCTTGGATCCAGAGCTGTAGTCCAACACTGTATATATTTAATTAATGCATTAAATATTTAATTATGTAAATTTATTAAAAAGGCTTTTTCTTCCCTCTTATCAGGGTCCAATGGATGGTCAAGCAATTTTTGTAAGTATATTTGGAAATGTTTTTTTTTATTTTTTAAAGCAAGCAAACAAGAAACAAACTCATAAAGGAAATGAGTCCTTGGGACATTCAAGTGGGTTGTTGGAGCTGAGCTCTAGCATACCTGAGGCGCCATCTCCACTGTCATATAAAATCCAGATTATATGTTTTGAACTGGATTGTAGTAGTCTACCCTGCTATATAATCCAGTTCAAATCAAATAATCTGGATTTTATATGGCTGTGTAGATGGGGCCTAAGTCCAGTCCAAGGTCTCTCTGCTCTCCCATAGTGTTTGGATTACAAAACTTAACTGACAAGACAGGGGTTGCAAGTCACAAACAAACCATGATTTCTGATTGTGGTTTATGACTGACTAATATACAATTTTCTTGTCTGAAACGATGGAATAAAACATATAAGATAGAATTAAACCAATGGCAGCCAGGATTACCGGTATACATAACCGTGGTCAAGGAATATTTCCGTATTTTTGAGGGGAAACTGTTTCTGCAACCCTTAAACAAAATACTTAGGCTTCTCATCAGGTGTGGGACATAATTGAAAAGGAATGCAACAGGTTTTTCTTTAAATATTAGCAAAGATGGCAGTCAATGTCAGACCACGTACAATAGGCTGAAAAGGTAAACAGTAGCTGAATGAAGAAACATTTATTTGAATAAAGTGTGTCTTCAGTTGTTAGGCAAAACGTGGAATTTATGATGACAAGAAACAAAATCTCTAGCTAGTTATTTAGGAGCAACAATGAGAGTGCAATGAAGGTACATTCTGAAATTAGTGCAGTAGGAATGAACTTTCTTTACTAATGGATTAAATCAAGTCAGCCTTTTGCAAGTGGTTTGCCTGGAATTTTGAATCGTTTTCTTGTCAGTCTTAATATTGTTTTTTCAAAGGAAGTAACAAAGTAATTTACACTTCAGTGAATAAGGCCACAAGTTACTCTTTCAACATTGTGACAATGGGCTCCTTCTCAAATGCAGTTAAGAAGTAAAAAGAACAAATTACTTTTATAAAATAATGTTCTGTCTCATGACAGAAGACTGAAATGTTCATAGAGCCACAGACTCTTGGGGTTAGAAGGAACTGTTGTTGTTGTTCATTCATTCAGTCGTCTCCGACTCTTCGTGACCTCATGGACCAGCCCATGCCAGAGCTCCCTGTCGGCCGTCACCACCCCCAGCTCCTTCAAGGTCAGTCCAGTCACTTCAAGGATGCCATCCATCCATCTTGCTTTTGGTCGGCCCCTCTTCCTTTTGCCACTTTCCCCAGCATAATTGTCTTCTCTAGGCTTTGCTGTCTCCTCATGATGTGGCCAAAATACTTCAACTTTGTCTCTAGTATCCTACTAGTATCTAGTAGTAGAAGGGACTACAAAACCTATATAATCTAACCCACTACAATGCAACAACTAAAGTTCTTCTAAAATGGCTAACCAGTTTCCATTTCAAGACCTACAAAGAAGGAGACTCAATTATCATCTGACACAATCCAACAAATAAAGCTTCTTATAGTCTAGAAGATCTTCCTGATGTTTAGGTGGAATCTCCCTTTTTTGTAATTTGAATCAATTGATTCATATTCTAATTTCTGGAGCAGGAGAAAGCAAGCTCACCCTATCTTCTATACAAGCGGTTCCCAACCACTTGACCAGGGACCACTTTGACAAGGGACCATTCTCCAATATTAGTACCAAAAGGGTTACAAATCAGTTTTTGGTCAACTTTAGATTCAGTTTGATTATTTGGGGGTGCTGATTCAGAAAATTACATTGGATAGACTACACCATCTCTAGTTTCTGTTACAGAACATATGCCATCAATTAGTCACCATTTGCTCACCCTCAGAAAATCATATTTAATAATCTAGAGCTGATGTGGCCTATCCAATTTTCTGAATCAGCACCCCAATTAACCCAAAGAACAGGCCTAAAAATGAAGACATCAAGAATTTTTTTTTTAGTTTGGCTGTGTTATTATTTGTGTATTTTGTTAACGCTCATGTAAAAAAAAGAAGGGGAGAGGGCTGAGGTTGAAAAAAAATACAAAAAGTGGAGCACGAGACCCAAGAAACTATCCCTAATGGTTTTCTCTCACTTCCTCGCCACAGGCACATGACCATGAGGAAGAGGGTGTGATCCATGGGGCATTGTAACGGTATAGTAACAGTGGGGCCGCGGACCATATTTTAGTTCTTGCGGACCACTGGTTGTCCACGGGCCACAGGTTGGGAACCACTGTTCTGTATAATGTTCCTTTAGGTACCAAAAAATGGGTATCATGATGCATCTTAGTTTTATTATTGCCAAGCTTCTTTAAATAAACGAATAAAGAAATAAGGACCATTTCTGGAAGGTGGCAGCTTTTCCCTTATCCTTTGCTATCCCAGGCACAAAGTACTCCATATTAATAGTAGTACATCTCCATTTTGGTCATTACAGATTCAACAGACAGTAGAAAGTGGTGGGAATGGGTTTTGCTTGCTGACAACAAGTTTCTGATGCTGGTGGGAAATATAGCCTTTAATGTGACCCATATATATGAGGTTGGCTAGAATACACTGGACTTCATCAATATCAACATCATCAACTTTCATGAATTTCGGGGCCACCAGAAAGGCATCTAGAGATAGCTGGTGAGTTTTGAGTACCCAGGTACATTTGTACCCAGGGACTATTTCTCACCTTGGTAAATGACTACTAGTGAGAGCAAAAATTTTCTGCTCTTTTCTTTCCCTGCCACAAAAAATTAATCACTTTGAAACCACTGATGTTATGCCCCAATATCTTGCCCACGGGCCTGAGAACTTTGTGTCTGGACTTCCATTCCTGGCTTTAGTGAAAAAAGCAATTTCCATTCCCTCCCCTTCTCTGGTTGTCGTGGGTGTGAATTAGGAAGCCTTGGCAGAGTCTTCATATGCATTATTTCAACTAGAGAATTATCAGAAGGGTGGGGAGAAGAACACAATAAGATTTGGCAGATGAACAACTAGCCTTTTGCACCTGGAAATACTATTTCAAGCTGTTTTGAAGTTGCTGTAGTTTTCCATGTAATGTAAGATTTTACATATCTGGGACTCAGAAGGCTTTGGATAGAGGAGAATTAAAAACAAATTCTGGCCTGCTTTATATAGCCACTGTTTATTTCAAATTAGTTTAGCCATTTGTTTCTTTAAACATGTGTGAATCAATTTTTGATATAAAATCTCCTAGCTATTAAGCCAATCCTGTGATCTTGCTGTGCTAAACAGATTCCACACTGGCTGAGTATTATTGTCATCTTAGCACTTTGAGAAGGAAAGTACTGTAGCCATAGAAAGAACAGCTAAGGCAACAACATCAACAGAGTATACTACCCAACATTTCACAGATGAAAACCTCAGTGTGGTCAAGATGTCAAGAATGGTTAATGGTGTTGTGGATTGCTTTGATAGTGAGGGTGAGGAGGTGCTGTTTGAAGAGCCAGTGTTTGAGCTGGAGCCCAGCAGTGCCTACCTAGCAGCTTCCTCAGCCAGGCTTGGAAGAGAGCTTATGGAGGAAGCTACCACTTCTCAGCAAGTACAAACAAGTTCATCTGAGCATGAAGAGGAAGGGTTAAGTGTTCTGGCTCTTTTGGACCTGTAAGTGGAAAAGGCTCAAGTTTGCAGGACTTCCAGGTTAGCAGAGAAATGCACTATCAACAGGCAACACTTGAGAAGCTATCATAAAAGGTGCTCAAGAGTGGCAGGTTGTTGCGAACAGTAACTTTGGTGTTTGGAGCCATGGCTGATCTCTGGTTTTGTGAAATTTGGGCTATCTCTTGGATTATGGCATTTGGATTTTTGGATTAGCCTTTGACTCTAGACTCTGTTGGAATCATCCACAGATCTTGGAATGAACTATCAGCTCCCCTGTTGTTATTCCTTGCTGTTGCTGCCTTTTTTGGCTGGATTCTGTAGTTTGGACTTGGACTGTTTGCTAACCTTCTGTTTGGACTTTTTGACAAATAAGGAATAACACATAAGATAGAAGAAGCTGGAACAGTTTGCATTTGTTTGAGTTTACAGGGAAGTCTTATCACCATCTTTCCTCTGCCTACTGCTGAATTAATTAAGTTGAAACTACATTTGCACTTTGAATTTAGTTTGCAGCAACTGAAATAAGTTGAAGACAAAGAGGAAAAGTGAGAGAAAGAGAGAAGGTAGGACATTTTAAAAGCATTTGAAAAAGAGGACAACAGAGAAATAATTGCGGCCCTTCCTGCCGAATCATGACAGTTAGAAAGTATGACAGACACTCTCCAGAACAACAAAACATTACTATAATATCTGTCAATCATGGCATTGCACACGAATGATGTTATATGTTAACTGAGTGTAGAAATGTATTATTATATTTATTTATACCCTGCTTTATCTCCCCCAGAAGGGTCTCAAAGCAGCTAAGAAAGAACAAATCAAGACATTGCAGTACCCACAATACCATACTGTTATTGCCCAGAAGTAGACATTTTCAACACTTGTACAACTGACAAGAATTACTGAATAAAGCAATCAATAGAAAACTACACTGAAGTTTTTTTTTATACTCCACCTTTCTCCCAGACTGGGATTCAAACCAAAGCCAGCTGGACCATAGAACTTTCAGCTCTGATGGAATAATGCCAAACTCTTTATCCGAATCCTCCTGATTATCAAGAGAAATTAAAATGAGAATTTGAAAAAGTTACTTTTTTGGAATCTTGGAAAATCTGGGAATTGTACAAAGCAGTAACTTTTTCAGCTTTTCCAGTGTACAATTTAATTGTCTTTGGGAGAAATTTTAGAAGAGACCATCTGTTTCTCATGTGCCCTGCCCTCGTGGGTGTTGAAGTTGATAGAATTTCACTTCATGCTGCTTTGTGGTTTTCTCCTCTGTTGGTTCAAAATTAAACTAGATTATGAGCTTAGTTGCCTTTTGATGCTATAGAAAGACATTGGGCAATCTTCTTTTCAACAGCAATCCACTGTATGAAGCAAACTGACCTTTAACGTATATGCCTGAATTTTATGTTGAGAAATTGTAGGTCGGATTTTTACTTCTCCTTTGGCGGAGCTTTGAAGCAGAAAAACAGTTGGCTCAGATTTGTGTTTTTGGGCTTGCTTATCAGAAAAAAGAGCTTTTTGTGAAAAGAGCTTTTTTTTCCATTTGGAGACACTTAAAGTGAATAAAAGAAGACATTAAGGGATGTCCAAGTTGGGTGCATACTACATCTAAGCTCCTCTGGACATTGCTCTCACTTTACCTTACAAGTAGGAAAAATAAAGAAATAATTGCCGTTGGAATCTGAGGTTGATGCTGACAAAAATGACCCGGTATTGTGATCTGCTGTCTTGAGACCAGGAATGGGAAATGTGTGGCCCTTTGGCTGTTGTTCAACTAACGTTCTCATGATATCTCACAATTGTCTATGGTGGGAAGGGATGAAGGATGTTGCAATCTAGCAATATCTGGGATTACCATCCCTTGTTTGTGCTCCATACATAGCAAGTAACTAAAAAAAATACTGATATGACCTTCTAAAATATATTTGGGTTCTCTGGTACCTAGTATTAGCTGTTTTTGTAGGAGAAGCCAGGAGATGCATAATATGAGGGCATCACATTCTGTAGTTCATTTGTTATTTTTGTTGTCTGCCCCCAAGTCATTTCTGACTCATGGTGTCCCTAAAGCTGGGTTTTTCTGGGCCATGGCCAAGCGGGAATTGGACCTCGTCTCCAGAATCATAATCACTCAAACTACTGCAGTACATTGGCTATACCTGAAAAGGAGGTAATGAATCACTAAATTACTTGGACCTTGGCTATTACATCTCCAGCCCTCCTGATGTTCATCAGAAGCCATTATTCAGGTTCAAAAGTTAGATGGGTTGTGATCAGAAAACAGGTCTTCTTGGTTGTGGCACTCCACTTCTGGAATGTTCTCCCTCTAGAGCAGTGGTTCTCAACCTTCCTAATGCCATGACATCTTAATACAGTTCCTCATGTTGTGGTGACCCCCAACCATAAATTTATTTTCATTGCTACTTCATAACAGTAAGCTTGCTACTGTTATGAGTATCAATGTAAATATTTGATATGCAGGATGTATTTTCTTTCACTGGACCAAATACCTAATACACTAATTTGAATACTGGTGAGGTTGGAGGGGGATTGATTTTGTCATTTGGGAGTTGTAGTTGCTGGGATTTAAAGTTAACTTACAAACAAATAGCATTCTGAACTCCACCAATGATGGAATTGAAGCAAACTCAGCACACAGAACTCCCATGACCAACAGAAAATACTGGAAGGGTTTGGTGGGTGTGGACCTTGAGTTTTGGAGTTGTAGTTCACCTACATCCAGAGGGCACTGTGGACTCAAACAATGATGGATCTCAACCAAACTTGGCACAGATACTCAATATGCCCACTGTGAACACTGGTGGAGTTTGGGGAAAATAGACCTTGACATTTGGGAGTTGTAGTTGCTGGGATTTATAATTCATCTGTAATCAAAGAGCATTTCGAACTCCACCAATGACAGAATTGGGCTAACTTTCCCACACAGAACCCCCATGACCAACAGAAAATTCTGTGTCTTTGACGACCCCTCTGACACCCCCTTGCAACCCCCGCAGGGATCCCAACCCCAAGGTTGAGAAATGCTATTCTAGAGGACCCTACCTTGCATTCACTCTTCAGTCTGAGAAGAACTGTTGCTATTTTAAATGTCCAGAAATTTTAGCATGTAGCATCTATTTTAATTACTATTACCTGTTTTATCCTACTTTGACTGCTGCTATATATTTTATGGTAAAAGTTTTTACTGCATAGATTTATTCTTTTCATAGTATGTTACCAAAGGCACTCATTTCAAAAAGATGATTTACAAATATGCTAAACATGAAGTTGCTGTTTTAGCTGAGAACAGCCTTTTCTAGCGTGGTACTCTTTGCTTGTGTTGAACTCTACCTCTCAGAAGCCCCGAACAAGCTATGTGAGGAGTTTCTTCTAAACCCATGGAATTACACAAACAATGCTTAATGTTAAGTCAAACAGTTACTTCCCTTATAGCCTTTTTCTACTTTTCCCCATCACGTGCTTTGTTTTCAAAACAGGAAGTCGTTATTGGAGATTTGAAGCCAGGCGCTCTCCATCGTGTTAGTGTTGGAGCTTATGGCTGGGCCGGAAAAGGGAGGCCCAGCATGCCCAAGAATGTAACAACTTTATCACAAGGTAAAGGCTGTGCGCATAGTTTTTCATTATGGTTGTTGATTGGGACAGAGATATAACAAACCTTGGATTTTTCCCCTTGGCACATACATGCTAATGCATGTGAGCATTTCAAAGGCACATTTGGTCAGAGAATAAGATGTGGATTTTGCTTTAACCTTTGTAAACTTTCTTTAAAAGTTTTTACAATAAAGGCCTTTGGATATTTATTTTGATTTAGAACATTTCTAGCCAGAAATGTCTAGCAATTTCTAACAATTTTTGTCATGGCTGCTTGCATTGGCTATCTCATCCATAAATCAGGTCAGCAGTACATCTCTTTCAACTAATTTTATCTTAACACAGTAAAGGATGGGATCCCTTATCCAGAATTCTGACCTCCAAAATACTCAAAAATCTAAAATTATGGTTGAGATAAGGACATAATTGCTTTTGAATGGTTCAATGTACGTAAACCTTGTCTCATTAAAACAGTGTATGCAAAACAGTGCATACAATTACCTTCAGGCTCTTTATATAAGGAGCATATACCTGAACTATTTTAGCTGGCTTGTGCCTGTAGTTAATAACGTTGTGAAAAAATTATGCTTAATATTTTCTGCAGAGTAGACAACTTTTTCTGAACAGTTTCTGCTCAGAAAAGTTTTTTTCTGGGTAAAAATTCTAAATGTAAATGTTTATAGAATAAATCCTGAATTCTAAATAGCCCTCAAAATCCACCATTTTCAAGCACCTTTTCACAGCAGAATAATTACTGCTTGAGAACAAATTAGTGAACAAATGCATTTCTAGTTATAGATCCTGATCTTACTTCTGTCTCTACTTATCATAACACAAAACAAAAACATATAATCAGTGGGACTTTGTTAACTAGAAAAGTGTAGATAACTGCAGCACAATCAACCACTTATCCAGTTAGCAAGATCTTAAATTTTTGCCAACACAAAGAGTTTGTAAAGTATGAATGAAGCTGACATTTCATGCCAGAATAACTCATGTTTTATAAAAAAAAATCTGGGAATGTATAAATTGGGTGCATTTTTAAAGTAATCAATGTTGCTTGATGTTATTGTCAAGTCTATGTTGTTCATCATCAGCATATCAGTTTATAGTGGGATATATAGTCTCTGATCGATAAAATCCTCTTCCAACATTTATTTGTTGGTCTTCATTCTCACAGGATTCAGTCTCATGGGATTGGTCTCACAGGATTTCTTCTTGTTTATTTTAGAGTTACAGAATTTGAACATGCTTTTGAAATTCCCAAAGTGAAAATCAGACCAACCCCCAGAATGAAAATCAGGTCAATCCAGCCCAGAGTCCTGTCTCAGTTTATAAAGTGCATGAATATTGTTTATTTCAGTAGTCTATAAACTTTATAGCATAATATATTTCAGGAGATTAAATAGTACATCTTTATAAACAGCCATTGTTGCAGTTGTTGCTGAGATTTTACCTCCTGAATCCTTTAGATCTTAAAAAGGGGGGAGGGTATGTTATACATTTGAAGACATACTGAAAAATCCCTGCTGCTTCTGAGTATGTTCAAAGCCCAGCACAAACACAGAGACCCTCTAGTTCTCAATTTGGCATGAAGTAAGATATGTCCTTTCAACTTGTCTGCAATGCATGAAGAAATTTGTACAGGTTGGGGATGGCTCAGACTGAGTTTGGATTGGGGAAGTAATTGCTGCAGAATTTTTTAATTATTGACAGCACATTTCAAAATGTTTGGGACACTGGTGTGTTTGTTAATCTTTAAAATTCCACAGGACTTCTTGTTTTGTTCTGCTTCATTGATCCTAATTCAATTAGCATTCCAAAATTCTGCAACTTATTCTCTGTCCCTGATCTTTTCTTGCTTAATCTCTGCTTGAGATCTTATATTAATTGAGCATCCTGTTTGCAAACATAAGAACACTCAGAGCAGATCAGGACCACGATTGCTGTTCAACAGAGATGTGAAGAATGCTCACAAATACCTTCATCTTCAGCAAGAAAGAGCATCTTGAGCATTGAAACAGACCATTGAGAAAATTTGTAGCCATTATCAGATTTTTTTTTTAAAAAAAATTATAATTCATTTTTGTGAAAAATATTGATCCAGACATGGATGTGGGTTCCCTCATAAAAAAGCACTGACACAAAATAATATATTTTGCAAAAATATTATTATCTTCAAAGTGCAATGAAAATGCACAAGATCTCACATATTGGAGAGAAAACCTTTGAAATCCTTCATTCTCTCATGTAATAATGAAATACGTGATTTGAGATTTGTGATATGTGATTTGAGAGGAAAAAAGGAAAATGTAGGCTTTGGAAAAATTGGTTTGGTTCATATTTTGATTGCATATTCCAGCATGGCAAGGGGTTGGACTGGATGGCCCTTGTGGTCTCTTCCAATTCTGTAATTCTGTGATAAGAATTTGCCAAATATTCACTTACAGAATCATATATTATATGAATATATTCATGAAGCCCAGACAAGCTTAGATTCAATATATGTGTTCTTTTGAGCAGCAAAATATACAGAGGATTTTGAAACCTAGTTGCATTGAGAGCTCTAATTATATTTAAGGAAATATGAGTGAAATTTCCCTTCAGATTTTGTTGCTTAATATGGGGACCTGAGAGGGTAGGTTTGTTATGTGGAGCCCTGATCCATCTTCACCTTTTAGAAGAACACATGAAGCACGCAAGAAAAAAAATCAGGGCATTCCCCTTCAAAACATGACTTCTTTTGTTTCAGATAAATGCAAGGTTCCAGATCCACCATATCAGCCCCAAGTCATTGTTGTTTCTGACTCAGAAGTTGCACTCACATGGAAACCAGGACCTAGTGAAGGAAGTTCTCCAATTCAGTACTACACTGTGGAATTTATCAGGTGATCTTGTTTATGGGATCTGCATGTAAGATAACATGGATTCATGTGAACTGACAACTGATTCATAAAGTTATCATCAGGGGCTAAGTTTATCTCAGCTCCAAAACTTTCTGGATGAAACTTCTCATTTTAGTCTGCTTACAGGCTTCAGTAGATGACCTATGCCATGATCAGGATGGTTAGATAATGGACTAGGTTGTGCTGGACCTGCCAGTGGGCTTTTGTACCACCGGCCATGCTGCCATTTGGGAGTGGGTCAAGGAGATAGGGTTGGGTGCATGGTGGCTTAGGTGGGTCCTCACAATGCTTTCCATGTGCTTCTTCCTGAAAAACAGAAAGAGCCCCTTTTCTGTGGCATCTCTACCACACCCAACCTTTGCAAGGTCCTGAACATCTTTCAGAAACATCCCCAAACCATTTACTGGCTTCTTCCTTTCAGTAGCTAGGAGCTGAGGCTTACAATAATCAGTTATAGTTTAGCTTTTTTCCAACCTCTTCCCTCCACAATTTCATCAGAAGTTTTTCTCCTGCCATAGTGTGGTGATTGTTAAAGGTATGTGATGGAGGTACTCCAAGACTCTTTTATTGTATTTCATCTGATGTGTTTTTTTTCTGACTCATTTCCTTGGCTGTCATTGCAAATCCACCCTCTCTCCATCTCAGGGCACATCAATTGTGTCAATTGAGAACTCACACATACACACCTTTATATTCCATTGTGTGTCAGTTCTCTTGTTCTCTATTTGGATGCTTGATAATACATTTTGACTATTTTAAAAAAAAAATCATTTTTACACTGACATAGTAATTAGGATATCCTGGGAAATTTCAGCTTTCTTCCCATTGTACAACTGACCCAACTATTTTGATATCTCCGTGATCTTATATATAATTACACAAATGCAAAAATCTGTATTTCACTTCTGTTTTAAAAATGGTTTGCCTAAGATAGCTACGTTTTAATTTTAATGTTAGGATGTGTTCCTTCTTACTTTAAAACATGCCCTTAAAAAAAATAAAGCCCAAAGCTCTCTTGATTTAGGAACTCCATATAAAACTTCAGTAAATCACTTCTGATCCAATCTAAAGGCAGGCCTCCATTATGTTCCTACATGACATACTCTTTCCTTTGTGATCTGGTAGTTTACTTTCTAGCGACTCAACTTCATCCGGCTTTAATACATTTTTAGGTTTGCAATTGAATTCATCCAAATGTTTTAAAACTTTTGGTTTGTGTAACTACATTCTGAAACTTGCATTTTCCCATGACCCAAGGCAGCATCATGATTTAGAAGCCAAGAAACTGTACAGTAAATATATTTTCCTGAACTAACCATCTCTGTAATGTGACTCATGGGCTTTCACTGTCTACAAGGATTCAACTGAATTACATGTGGGCCTTGTACCTTTGACCTCAGATCATCAGCCTGTGGGTCAGAAATTCATTGTATGCTTTAATATTGCATGAAATATCTCCCTATCCTGTTTTTGAAATACACTATAAAAAAGACAGACTCAAAGAGTATTTTGCAGAATGTTGTGGCAACAGAATAAGATTTGTGTCTAGGTCCAATTTTCAAAGCTATTTTGAGCCATAAACATGGGAACAGTTGCATCAGTACAGGATTGTCTGCCTACTCTAATGTGTGTATGAAATTCATATGCAAGAAAATTGTCCAATTTCTACTAGTAGAGAGATTATACCAAGGAATACACACACAAAACTTCCCTGTTCAACAGACATAGGTGAAGATTGAACACCCCAGTCTACATTTTGTAATTTTACAAATCCATAGCTACATTGAAGGAATGCAATGAAACCCTGTTGCTGAATTGCAAAGATTTATAGACTTACTAGTCCCCTGCCACACATTGCTGTGGCCCAGTCTGTGTATATGTGTTTTCTATGTGTATATATTTGTTTATATGTGTGTTTTGCTTGCGTGTGTGTGTTTGTATTTATATGTATATATGTGTGTGTGTGTGTGTGTGTGTATATGTGTGTGTGTGTGTGTGTGTGTGTGTGTGTGTGTGTGTGTGTGTATATATATATATATAGTTATGAGCATGTGTTGTAATGCATTTTGTATTTTTTGGCTTTTTAAGTCTCTTCCTCTGTGTTTTTCAGTGTTTTTATGAGTGATGATCACTCGTTGGCCTGATAGGTGTATTGTGTCCAAATTTGGTGTCAATTAGTCCAGTGGTTATTGAGTTATATTAATCCCACAAATGAACATTACATTTTTATTTATATAGATTCACATCTGGGCACCAGTATGTTCCAGTATGCAATGCTTTTTTCTGATCTGCATTGCACACTTTGATGCATGTTGGACACTCACTTCTGTTGCATTCTAGCCTTTCGTAGTCCATGTCTACCTATTCAGACTGATGTATAGCAGTGCACATTGTACATTGGGCTATGGTGCATCAGTCACTTCAGTCCCCAACATTGCAGCCTCTAAGTAAAAAATCAATACTGGAAAGCTGCTCAGTCCAGTTTGATGCACTCATAAGGTCATTTTCAAAAACATAAATCCCAAGCAGAATGCCTGCTATAATATCTAATTGTTCATAAAATGCCTTCAAATGATGGGATTCTGAGGTAGATGTATAGTTTTAAAATATATTTTAATATTTCTGTTTTTAATGACACAAAGGGTTTAATTCTTGTTTAATTTTATATTCATTTTGTAATGCATTTGCAATGTTTAATCCGTATTGTGCCATATTTATTGTTAGCTGCCTAGAATTCCTATATTGGGAGAAAGGCAGGATAAAATATAAGCTAAATAAATAAATAAATAGACAAACCTAGCAGGAGACAAGCCAGAGATGGAGAAATTCTGTATGTTCATGACATCCTAGCAGTTTGCTCTTAAAGGAGTTTAATTGATATACAGTGGCAGACTTTTTCTTTGTATTGAAATTATTTGTGTCCAACACTCGTGCATTACCTGGGGAGTGATACGTATGCTGAGTAGATTAAGGAGCAGTAATTTTACAAACATTATTTAAATACAGTAAAAATATTTAAAACACTTGCAAAAGATTAAAAATACAGTACTGCACTTCATATGCACACTATTGCTGTATAATCAAAGTTCAAAGGCGTGCCAGAACAACAACAACAACAACAAAACCTTACCTAACAGTGAAAAGAGACTAGGGAAAGGGCCAACTGAAATTAGACCTTTTCTTTCTACTCCTTCATGTCTTGGCCATTTCCTGTGTTGATTATTGTAATTTTTCTGTGAGTAGCCTTCTATTATCTCACTGTAGTTCTCTGGTTTCTATTCAACATTCTGCTGCTGAGATGATCTTTTGAGCTCATTGTTTTGATCATGTTACCTCACTTTTGCTGCTTCTTCCTTGGTAACAATTTCTTCTAGGATTCAGTACAAGTTTTGTGAAGTCTTGGCACTGCTTTTTCCTCTCCTTTGCTTCAGTTCACCCTGTTTACAGGCCTTCCCAATAGTGTAGAGATCTTCCTTTGTATTAGTTTTTGAGTGGAGCTTAAAATCCTCAGAGGCCAATCTTAGTTGGTCTATTCCATTTCCCTGCATAGAGCTCTCTTGCTGGACTCCTCCCTTTTCTATAGTCACTAGAGGCTTGGGGTATTGTCTGGTACTCCTGGGCCAAGCAATCCAAAAACAGGCATTCTTAGGATCTGCTGCATTTAGCAGTAGTATTATACCACCAGTCCAAAACACAACAGAACCTTATAACCAGCCTAAGCTTCACAGGAAAGAAGATTAAGACAATTTATAAACTATCGCTTTGCAGCAGACGCAGAAGATTCCAGAAAGATGACTGACTGCAACCAGCAAAATCTCCTTTTGTGATGTATTGTTTTAAGCTTATCAATTTATTTACTTACCATATTTATATACCGCCTTTCTCAGCCCGAAGACAACTCAAGGCAGTTTACAATCAGCATAATTCAATGCTCCCAACAACATATCTTATGATAGTTCCAGGTGGAGTTAACCCTTTATTCATCCTGTTTTCAGTAAATTCATCTTGGTTATCTTTTCACCTTGCCTAAAGTGCCTCTGTCTGCTAAGGGTCTTAATCTTAACAGAAGGTATCAGATATCCCCTGAATAAAACCAGACAATATAGTTTTCCCAAAGGCTCGGACATGCCATCACAAGTTTCATTTTTAATGGTCCAAAGCCTATATAACTTAGTTCCCCATTATCTTTCAGTTTTCATTTCTTTTGACAGACTTGTTTAAGGTTTGTACTGAAGGTCTGAGTTTGCAGGCTGCTTGACTTTGATGCTCCTAGTAAAGGTGGGCAACATGTAGCCTGCCAAAACCAGAAAGGCAGCTGACATCTGAGGATGGACTTCCTCCTCACAACCTTTTCCAATCCCTCCCCAAGGTCTTCACTCAAATGTCAACAGTTATTTCTCCTTTCTTTGTGAAGGGAGGACAGAGCAATCAAGTTGTTTTTCACTCTGCACAGAGAAGAGAAATCTTTTGCTACATGGAGGAGCAATTTTTGAAATCCTCCTTGAGTTGATGTACACTTTGCCTGAGTTAAGACAGAAAATTCAGAACTGTTTCACATACAGGTTGAACATCACTTGTCTGGAAATCTATAGCAGTCCACGTGGATAGCCGAGATAGTGACATCTGTAATTTGTGTACACACATTTGGTTTCAGACACAAAATTATTAAACAAACCTAGTGTACAGGATTACTTTCAGGCTAAACTCATAACATGTACAGGTATATGAAACATAAATAAATGTAGCATCAAAACTTTGTTTCCATAACCAAGATACCTCATTATGTACATACTGTATATGCAAATACAGGTATTCCAAACTCTGAAAAAATCCAAAGTGATTCTGGTCCCAAGCAAACTGGAGAAGGAGTGCTCAAGCTGTATAAGCATTTTCAATACTGCAAATTTCTCCAGGCCTTCATTAATATTTGGAGACTTCCTTTCTGTCCAAGGAAGGAATATTTCCTATGGAAATAGCTTTCTGCATAAAACAGCAGATCTGTAGAGCTGTTTATGGTATTTTTCATGTTGGAGAGCAAAAACACTTCCCTAATATATTGAACAGCGTCTCAAATTGTGAGTGCCTTCAAATAACTATATCCTTCCTGTTCCGTGTGCATAAAAGTGGTGTGTGTTATACACACAGCATCATTTCTAATGGAGAAAAACCATTCACCCATAAAAACTAACACTGCCAAGGAACCCATGCTCTTAATTATGAAAAACAGAAGCTTTCAGTCTGGATCAAAATTAACATACATACTCATGTATAAGTCGACTTCAGGTGTAAGCCAATGATACAGATTTTGATATGAGGGATATTCCAAGGAAAAGGGAAAGTACCAGCATCACCTCAATGGGTCAGTAGATCCTGACTGCCCCTACCATTTTCCCACAGAGGGATTGACAAAGATCAGAAGAAGTGCCATGGTGGAGAGAGTAGAGGGTCAGTGTACCTTTTAGGGCATACTAAGTTCTTACTCCTCACCACTCCAACTCAGTGGTGGTTCCTTTATATATATATAAGAGTTAAAGTATTGTACTTACACTGACACTTGAGACCTCATCACTTGGGCAAATTTGCCCACCCTACAAATTTGCCCAGTTTTGGTCCAGTTTAAGGACAGAGCCTTCTGGATCCCATCAAATAATGTACATCCAAACTGAGGTAAAAGAGGGAGTAAGGCGAACGTGCAAGGCTTCCCATGTTCTCATTGAGAAAAATGGATGGGAAGGTGGGTGGCAACGCTTCCATGGGTTAAAGCACTGAGCTGCTAAGCTTGCTGACCCAAAGGTCACAGGTTTGAATCCGTGGATCAGCGTGAGCTCCCGCTGTTATCCCCAGCTTCTGCCAACCTAGCATTTTGAAAACATGCAAATGTGAGTAGATCAATAGGTACCGCTCTGGTGGGAAGGTAACAGCGCCCCATACAATCATGCTGGCTATATGACCTTGGAGGTGTCTATGGACAACGTCGGGTTTTTGGCTTAGAAATGGAGATGAGCACCAACCCCCAGAGATGGACACGGCTGGACTTAATGTTAGGGGAAAAGCTTTATCTTTACCTTATACATAGGATAAATGTTCATTACCCAGATATGTTCAGGTTAATAGGCTGTCCCCTTCTTTTTAGTGTGTGCCCAAAAAAGGCAACACGTTAGTGATTTTTTTTTCTTGTAGAGCAGTCACTGAGGATTAAGACAAGACAGCGTTCTAAGGTTGAGTCATTCTTGGACTGTTGAATAGAGTGGGTTTTTTTCACTTTCAAAAGTGAACCCTGTTTTGTCCCCTGTGACTCGACAATTTGGTTTCTCAGATTCACAAAGTACAGACCAACTTGGAAAGAAGAATTCCAAATTGCTTTCTTTTTAATCTCTGTGTCCTCCCTTCTTGCTCAATAGAAATGACCCTCAAATAACTAAATCACTCTTTCATTGCCCAATTTAAACATTACATAAGTCTATTTTGGCAGCACCTTTGAGCTCCAAATGGACACTACTTGAAATGTACTTGGAAAAATTGTGCTATTATTTTTATAAAAATAATGCCAGAGCTGTTTGCAGCCAGGGCTTTATTTAAAAAAAAAAAAACAGGAGATCTAGATCCTGAAGGTCATTTCCTGTCATAAATTGTACAATGACATCCAAGAAGGGGGTGAGGGAAACAGCACTTTAATCTTATCTTTTGAAATCAGTTCAGGGCTTTTAATGTTCCTATCCTTTTAAAAGGAAGTCTTATGTACAACAATGTGTGAGGCAGTCTTTCTCAGACACATGGAATAGTATGAGGAATCGCCTTTCGGAAGGAGACAGTTGAGACTCTCTCCTGCTGGATGCCTTTGAACTTTTTGAGTAATCGGCAATTTTCATATGTTGTGCTGGAAACATTTGTTTTTGTGCTACAACTCCCACAATCCCTGAGCCAACAGGGGACTTTCTGCAATTTCACATTCAAAATTGAACTTAGAGTGGTTAGTCTAGGAAACCTTGAATTAGTTAAAAGATTTGGCCCAAGATCTTTGAAAACCCTGATAACTGCTGGGATTGTTCGATGACCAATGACAATAATATGGAAGAATGTTGTGATTATACCTTCCTGGTTATTTTATGCTCAAAAGTGGAAATCCATCAACAGAAGATGACTGTTGGATGTATAATTTGGCTGAGATGCAAAACCTGACCATTTTGATTAAACAATGAAAGTTACGAAATTTTGTTTCATATTTAAAATATCATCACAGACTGCTATTGGTGATTAGTTGATAATACTATAAGAAGTGGTATGTTAACCAAGTATGAAGGATAAATAAAATTATAATAATGTGTGTATTAGAGGAAATTGTGCAAAGAAACGGATATTACCATCATCTGGTTGTTTTGCGTTAAGATCGTCCGGGGAGGCCCTGCTCTTGGTTCCGCCGGCGTCACAAGTGCGATTGGCGGGGACGAGAGACAGGGCCTTCTCGGTAGTGGCCCCTCGGCTATGGAATGCGCTACCAGGGGACATCAGGCAGGCCCCTTCGTTACTGGTGTTTCGGAGAAGGGTTAAGACGTGGCTCTATGAGCAGGCATTTGGATAACTATGTGATGACAACCAACTTATTGACGGCATTGAACAAGGAATGAAAAAGGATTATGAGAACGGGATCTGTTTCTAAGTGAGGCGTTGATGATGATTATGTGTGTTGTTTGTGTATGTGTGTCCGATATATTGTTCAGTGTTGCTTTTTTATTGTAAACCGCATTGAGTCGCCGCCTCAGGCTGATAAATGCGGTATACAAATGGAGTAAATAAATAAATAAATAAATTTGCAGGCCATGCCCTGTTTTATCTTTCCTGTCCTCTTTTTCTTTCTTGTGTGTGTTTTAGTACTTTGTGCTGGTATTTTTTATTATGTAGTATGCAATTTGCTTGTACTGTGTGTATTATTCCATGTTTGCTTTTTCTATTAAACTTTTTTTCCTTTTGTGTCTGTTTAATAAAGATATGTTTAAAAGTCTAATTGTATTTTATGCTATTTCTTTGTTCTAATCAGGCCTGATCTTGATACCAACTGGACAGTTATTAGAGAACAGATCCAGATGGACTCCATGGTCCTGAAGGGGCTAAGTCCAAACAACATGTACCAGTTTGCAGTCCGAGCTGCAAATTCATATGGAACCAGTCCACCCAGTGCTTCCAGTGACCCTATCAGAATGTTCAGTGAGTAAAAGACATTTCTTCCATTATTTGGTCCTAAAGCCAGTGGCTATTGGTGGCTTCCATGTTTTAAGAGACAGGCTTTAGGTGGAACTTCAACAGAACTGTATTGTGCATGCTCATACCTGGCAACTGTCCCAATTAATCCCCTGTCATCCCACTTTTTCAGCTGCTTTTAAAATGACATAGTCTTCTCCTTTTAATTCACACATCAATCCTCAGTTTATTTCAGTGGATAACAATGGAATTCAAATTGCAAAAATAATTGGAACTCCATTAGCTATGTAGCAGGAGAGAGGAGGGGGGAAGAATCATGCCCTTCTCAGTAAGTTCAAGTACAAGCAAACTGCTGCAGCCTCTCCTAATGTGTAAGTTCCTCCTTTTCTTTTGTTATTTTGGCCACACTCTGCTGTTACTTGCTTACATGTATCCTGGTTTCCATCTGTGAAATACTGGAGTGTATGAGTGCTGAATCTACTCTGGAGATAGAATTTAATGCTTGGATAGTTTGGACAATTTAGACACCACCATCCATTTTTTAACAGACCACCAGACATATTTTTAACAACCCATCTCTCCTTCTTCCTCTTCTTCCCCATCCTTGAATAAGGAAGTTTTGGCAGTTTCTATAAAAACCAAGCCATGAGTGGAATTAAAAAAAGCTCCAGGCTAAAAACACGTCCATGCTGTTCTTGTGCTATTGCAAACTTTTCATTTCTAGATATATCTGACTGTGTGTATGTGTGTGCATGTCAGCTTCATATGTAATTGATAAGCAACATCTTAAGGAGAAGTAACATTGACAAGCCTATTCTTCACCTCCTGATGCCATTCTTTAAAACGGAATTCTATATATTACATGCATAATTTAAAAGCTACCACAGGAAAAGACCAAAGTAAGGTTGTGATGCCATGAAAGACGGTTGGAGGATGCTTGCAGTTTCAAGCATTGACTCAAAACTGTCTTGGCTAATGGCATGAGTCAGTTTGTTTGGGGCTTTTGATCTAATGTTGCTGGAACCAAGGCTTGCTTTTGGGAGGGAATAATTCCTTACAAATTAGCTTTGTGACTTGGTGATGTCAAAGGAGTCTAAAAGTATCTTGACATGCTTTGAATGTGGTGTTGTTGGGTGAAGTTGGGTTAGAAATAAATATGAGAATAAGGGTCTTCTGCCAAAAACAACAGTCATATTTTGGGCTACTGTTCAGGTAAAGCAGAGAAATAGGAGCGCTGTAATAATCCTGTGGTCAGATGATGAAAAAATTATATTTATGGGCTGCAAGTGTCAGAACCCACCAACAAGCATGGGCACTAGCTGTGGATTTTGGGGACTGGCAGCATGGAAAAGTCACTCAAACTCTGGTTGTGACAATAGAATCTCTAATTCTGAAATGAAGAAAATGTTATGATGGGGTGCATCTACACTGTAGAATTAATGCAGTTTGACATCACTTTAATTGCCATAGCACAGTGGTGCCAAACTGCATTAATTGTACAGTGTAGAATTAATGAAGTTTGCCAAAGAGTGCTGGTGCTTCACTACAATTCCCACGATTCTATAGCATTGAACCATGGCAGTTAAAATGGCATCACACTGCATTAATTCTATAATGTAAATGCACTCATGGATTGTTCTTATGAGCAAGACAACTCAGGGATAAGTATAGAGCATCTGAGACTCAAAAGAAACATGGAGGGGGGAAAGAATAACCGAGGTAAAAAATTATTTTATTTCATTTTTTAATATTCTGCCTTTCTCATTGAATGGAACCCATTTTGCATTGCTTGTTGAATTTGATGTAGTGGCTTATGTCAAATTCAGCTGGATATGCCAGATCTCTAAGGTACTTTGATTGTGCTTTTCCTGCATGGCAGGGGGTTGGACTAGATGACCCATGTGGTCTCTCCCAACTCTATGGTTCTATGATTTTATGTCATAAATATGAAGCCCCAGAATGATTTGAGGCTTGCAAAGCATTCTAAAAACAGAAAAAAGGAGAACCCTGCCCTTGTTAGGAAGAAGAATTAGATCAAAGAGGAGATAGCTTTACTTGGCAGCACTACTCAACCTTTAGACTCAAGTCCCATTGCTACACCTGAAGATCAGGTGTTGGCGGTGGCCGAAATGGCCTTCACATAGTTAAAACTTGTGTGCCAGCTGTGACTGTACCTCAAAAAGCCTGACTTGGCCACGGCAATCCATGCCTTAGTTACATTCAGAATGGACTACTATAAAGCACTCTACGTGAGGCTGCCTTTGAAGACGATTCAGAAACTGCAGTTAGTGCAAAAATTGACTGCCAGATTATTAACTGGGACTAGCTATACTATGCCCCTACTAAAATGGCTCCACTGGCTTCCAGCAATTTTCTGGGCTCAATTCAAGGTGCAGGTTATTACCTATAAAGCCCTATATGGTTCAAATCCAACCTATCTTCGAGACTGCATCTCCTTCAGTGAGCCAGCATGGACTTTGAGATTGGCAGGGGAAGCCCTTCTCTAGTCCCACAACCTTCTCAAGCGCATTTGGTGGAGATGAGGGAGAGGGCCTACTCTGTAGTGGCTCCCTGGCTCTTGAATACCCCCCAAAAGAAATTAGGTTACCCCCCACCTTTGAATTCTTCCAATCCAGTTAAAAAAAAAACATGGATTTTTAAACATGGATTTTTTAAACAGACTCATATGAGATTGACACTCTGGCATTTAGTTGTGAATTGATGGCAGCTAATTTTAACTGTAGATGGCCTGTGTTTTTAAATTGTGTTATTTTATTTTATGCATTGATAGCGGTTGCTTTATAAGGTTATATGTGATATTGTTTTATACTCATGTACCGCTTATGGGTACATGAGTATAAAACAATGAGTATTGCACTTGGAGTGCCTTGTAAGCCACCCTGAGTCCCTTTTGGGAGATGGTGGTGGCATATAAATAAAGTTTATTATTATTTATTATTACTACTAGCAGAAATAGACCCATTAAATCAGTTCCTGAATAGTATGTCAACACTTATATTGAAGAGGATGGAATCCCATTGTTTTAGTTACTTTATTATAGATGGGACTAACTTTTGGATTGAGGGCTTACTTTACTTTTAGTTTTCTCCCAACATGAGTAGAAATGAAGGAAGGATGGATGGGTAGATGGATGGAAGGACTTGCAGACTAGAATTGGTAAAGACTTATTTAGAGACCATATAGGTCCATATTTTGGCTGTCACCAGTGGAATCGAGTATATTATAACAACAATATCAGGATACACTGACTACTTCGTATGAAGGATGGGGAAGTTAACATGGGGATGCTGCTTTTCTTTTAGTTTAGTTTAGTTCTAATCTCTGTTTAGACAATTAAAAAAATCATAGTAGCCTTTTTGTGATGGACCTTGAGGAAAACAGAATCCCAAATGACAGTTGTTGTTGTTCATTCGTTCAGTCGTCTCCGACTCTTCGTGACCTCATGGACCAGCCTACGCCAGAGCTCCCTGTCGGCCGTTACCACCCCCAGCTCCTTCAAGGTCAATCCAGTCACTTCAAGGATGCCATCCATCCATCTTGCCCTTGGTCGGCCCCTCTTCCTTTTGCCTTCCACTTTCCCCAGCATAATTGTCTTCTCCAGGCTTTCCTGTCTCCTCATGATGTGGGCAAAGTACTTCAACTTTGTCTCTAGTATCTTTCCCTCCGGTGAGCAGTCGGGCTTTATTTCCTGGAGGATGGACTGGTTGGATCTTCTCGCAGTCCAAGGCACTCTCAGAACTTTCCTCCAACACCACAGCTCAAAAGCATCGATCTTCCTTCGCTCAGCCTTCCCTAAGGTCCAGCTCTCACATCCGTAGGTTACTACTGGGAATACCATGGCTTTGACTAGGCGGATCTTTGTTGCCAGTCTGATGTCTCTACTCTTCACTATTTTATCGAGACTGGACATTGCTCTCCTCCCAAGAAGTAAGCGTCTTCTGATTTCCTGGCCACAGTCTGCATCTGCAGTAATCTTTTGCACCTAGAAATACAAAGTCTGTCACGGCCTCCACGGTTTCTCCTCTATTTTCCAGTTGTCAATCATTCTTGTTGCCATAATCTTTGTTTTTTTGACGTTTAGCTGCAACCCAGCTTTTGCGCTTTCTTCTTTCACCTTGATTAGAAGGCTCCTCAGCTCCTCCTCGCTTTCGGCCATCAGAGTGGTGTCATCTGCATATCTGAGGTTGTTAATGTTTCTTCCAGCAATTTTCACCCCAGCTTTGCATTCATCCAGCCCCGCACATCGCATGATGTGTTCTGCATACATGTTAAAAAGGTTGGGTGAGAGTATGCAGCCTTGCCGTACGCCTTTCCCAATCTTGAACCAGTCTGTTGTTCCGTGGTCAGTTCTGACTGTTGCTACTTGGTCCTTGTACAGATTCCTCAGGAGAGAGACAAGGTGCTTGGATGCCCATCCCACCAAGAACTTGCCACAATTTATTATGATCCACACAGTCAAAGGCTTTAGAATAGTCAATGAAGCAGAAGTAGATGTTTTTCTGAAACTCCCTGCCTTTCTCCATTATCCAGCGGATATTGGCAATCTGGTCTCGTTCCTCTGCCTTTTCTAAACCCAGCTTGAACATCTGGCCACTCTCTCTCCATGTCTTGCTGGAGTCTTCCTTGCAGGATCTTGAGCATTCCCTTACTGGCATGAGAAATAAGGGCCACTGTACGGAAGTTTGAGCAGTCTTTCGCATTTCCCTTTTTTGGTATGGGGATATAAGTTGATTTTTTTCCAGTCTGATGGCTGTGTTCTTGTGTTTTCCATATTTGCCGGCATATGGCATGCATCACCTTGACAGCATCATCTTTTAAGATTTTAAACAGTTCAGCTGGGATCCCGTCGTCTCCTGCTGCCTTGTTGTTAGCAATGCTTCTTAAGGCCCATTCAACCTCACTCCTCAGGATGTCTGGTTCTAATTCATTCACCACACCGTCAAAACCATCCTCAATATTATTATCCTTCCTATACAGATCTTCTG